TATAATATATTACACACACACACACACATACACACACACACACACACACACAGACATATATATATATATATGTAACACCATAATGTTGCTTTAAGGTTTTAACGTTCTTCATCACATTGCATTATATGGGGCGTGTATGGGGCTGGTTGTCACTCTTGGGATATATGATACTTGGTCCGTTTTAACATAAATTTAAATATCATATGAACATAACTACCCGCAGGGCGTGGTAGATTATTTGTCGTAAAGTGGCCATCTAATGATGTTGCTAAATATATTTCGAAACATGTAAACATAGCGCCTTCTAAATCATGGACGGACAATCAAATGGAAAGCAAAGCCTTCTAAATAGACATAAATAAAAGAAAGTACGGCAGACTCTGTCCGCCAAAAATGAAAAGTCAAAACTGAAACTCTCAATGACCAATGAATTACAGCTACCTTAAGCTCAATGCTGATTGGTTCTCTTGCTGTTCTTAACAATGATCCAATTTGTAGTCAAACGCTTGATAAGTGCACATACCCTAAAACCCCCCCGGCCATCGGCCACCGCCCGGGAAGCCCCAAGGACCCACTGAGCTTTTAGTGCTATTAAAAATATCAACATCAGCAGCAGGATAACTATACCACGACATTCGCTTCACATTCGCATCCTAGACCCCGCCAAATGCCAATGAAGTCACTCCGCATTCTATCAGTCACTGAGTCTTTCCTTTTTTTTTTGCGCAGATAGAGACCAATTTCAAATTTTGCGTTTAGGAAACATCGGCCTAAAAAAGGCCCCTTCCGGAATATCTTATTAGCCAAAAAAAAAAAAGGAAAATAACGCGTTTTCAACGCGTGTTGAATTTAAAACGCGTGTTGAGTTTGCGTCTCGAAATTTGAGCACTGTACGAAATGTAAACGTTGATTTTACGCTAAATAAATGTTAACGTATAAAATTGGATCAAGAGACGACCAGAGGTGTATTCACCTGGCCAGTGGCCTTGGGTGGAGGGGGGTAACAGGGGAAGTTGAATCCTAAATTCAACCATAACGTAATTAACGTTTTCTCCAGTCCCCCTGTGTGGGGGGGGAGGCGAATTATTGGGGAAAGTGTATTTCGATACATATTTACTATTTAGACTTATAGACTATGTAGTAGTGAGCGCAAAATACATTCGTCAATCCGTTTGCACTCATCAATCAGTATGGGTTTAACGCAAACGCAAATATATTTGAGTTTTGTACGTTTTGGGGTAAACCGAAATTATACTGTTCAACAATATAAACGTTTGTTGAATATATAACGTTTTAACGAGAAACTTCTCTGCCTGATTTTCAGAAGAAGGTTGGTTTTGTCTATAAATATACACACACCTTTTTTTAATTATATATTTTTATAGAAAATATGAAACAATTGAAATTAATTTTTATAATATTTATTTCGTTTTCACATACATAGCACGAAGTTAATGAATATTTATAAAATACCTGTGGTCGTATCTTTTTAGAGTTTATTGTAATCTCTTCTTGATTGTGGGTGTACGGATGGTCTTAGCCACAACATACACGTACACTCAGTCAAAATTGGTATCTCAGCACGAACGATGACCGTTATAGACATCGGCTTCAGGTGACACTCCCTGAACAGTTGGTTAAGCACTAACTAGTCCATGGCACTGAATGACTTTTAGCCATACAGGCAAGGTGTACGATATGTGATCAGTGGTGTGCAGGAACGCAAATACTCGATAGTGATATTATTATATATCATATATCACAAGGCTCGTAGAAACTGTGACAAACGATAATATCTCTCATATTCCTCTGGTCTTTGGTTACCCTTATTAGTGCGTTTACCATATAGTAGGTAATCGTACTATCATGGCGCAAGAAGGTGTCGGCATGTCCACAGCCAAAGCCGACAAGAAAAGCGATCTGAACTTCCAGTTTTTCTCGGAGCACAATGATACGGACGGTTCATTCAGTGTTCTGGCAGAACTGGGACTTGACGACGACGACGATAGCATAGTAACTAGTGCTATCAACAACACCAGTGACACGGGACCACTGCCAAGATCATTGCCGAATTTTGAAAGTGCTGACGACATGGTACACTTAAGGCAGGCAAATAGGAACATAAACAGTCACAGTGCGAATAGCACAATGGCAAGTGACAGGGCTGGGGATAGAGAGTCATCAGATGTTATGAGTAAATCAGGTATAGCTGGCAGGCACTCAACTGGTAATACAACAAAGCCAGGTGGAAGACCCAAAGCCGGCTCGGAAGGTTCTGTCACGATGACGCGCAATAGGACTTTGTCCTCGGGACTTACACCAAAGATATCTATATCGGATCATGGAAGTGGTGCAGCCGACAGCGTTATTGATGCTGTACAAGTATGTATTCCTTATAGTTCAAGTTCGAGTTTTGTCTTAGGGGTTCAGCTGTATATGTATGCCATGTTGTATGTACAAAAACAACAAATACATGTACGACTAAATGGGCATCGTCCGCGCCATATTATAATATA